TTAGAATCTCACTGATTGAGGATATGAGTTGTAGTTCCTCTGTATCATTTTGAATGATCCTCACTCTATGAGCTAACAGTTGGGGTTAAGTTAGGTCCTGTCTTCATGTTTCTTTAACACCTTCAATCCACCTACTTACATTTGAGTTTGTTATGAGTTATGACATTCTATGTGGTATATTTTGCTTATTTTGAGAAGCTAAGTCGTTTGACTATGAATCTGTTTAGGAAGTGACAATGTTTTATGTTGTCAATGTAAAAATTTTAGATGTTACATGAAGATCTTGTAATTTGCTTTACTTGCACAATAACTTCTCAAAAGAATCCTTCGACAGAGCTTTACTCTAGAGACTGATAAGTAAAACACTTGGGTTTTGATCTTGTTATGACATACTATCTTGATGGACAGTGTGTCGGATTTGCTCGACTATATCAATCCTGGTTCTGATGCCGAAGGGAGAAACGCTATTTTAGCAAAAAGAAAAGGCTTTGCCTCAAAGGTACACGATGCTCGTGATGTTTCTATATTTGTTTTTTTCCTTATATGCTGCAAATATTTATCAGCGTGAAGGGGTAAGTAATTGTAATTTGGGACAAAGTTGTATATGCTAATGCAAATATGTTCTTTATCAAAGAAAAATGTTAATGCAATATGCAAAAAATTTATATAACACTCTTTCCATTTAGGACGTTTCAAAAAATTTGTAACACTAGCTTACTAAAAGGTTATACTGTGCAACATTTACATCTTTTAATCTCAAATTCATTTAACTATTCAAAATTTTAAATTTTGATATGATGTTCCCTATAAAACTTTCAACGAATACTGTAATATTTACGTCCACTATCAATAATATGATACATAAGTCTAATTATCATATTAAACTTCGAGTAAGGGAAATGGCTGGAGGATGTCATAGATTAAACTGTGAAATTCAAAGTCTAGCTTGAGCTGTTTTGTTGGAAAGGTCTACCATCCATAATGCCAGCACAAGCCTACAGAGAAAGGATTGAATTAGCTTAAAAGGAAACTTTGGTTCTAGGTATATGCTTCAACATATGTTTCAGGTTTCCAAAGGTCTGTATGCCTTCCTGTTATATGTTAATGCAAACGCGTTGTTGTGAAATTCAAATTTTACAGTGTGCTATTTTTTTACTTCTCAAGAACTCTTACCATTTGCTTGTTCCACATTTATGTGAAATTAGATTTTGCTTGAAGCTTGAGGCTTGCATAGTATAAGCCTCCGTAATGCTTCTGCCCTCTTTATGCTTCATGCTTTTATTTCTCAGGTAAAGGGAAAATCTAATCAGACCAATTGTGCCTCAGCAAACTCTGACACTCCTAAAAATGTCCTGGAAGTGAAGCAAGATTATCAGAAACTAATTTGCAAAGATGATAATGATTCCCAGACGAATGAGGAACCCTTTGACATAGTAGTTAAGTCCAATCTGAATGCAGACCGAAGAATTTCAGAGAACAACAAACCCATTGAACCTAGACCCTTGGAGGAAGACGCTTCATTGGAGAAGTGCGTTAATGGCGCTGTATTATCTGAACCTTATGTGGAAGCAGATGATGGATGGCAGCCAGTACAGAAACCAAGATCAGCTGGTATTTATGGCCAAAAACTAAGACAGAGGTGGCAAACCATCAGCAAGGTCATTGATTATCAGAATGAAGACTCAATTTCTGAAGTTGGCCATGCTAGATTGAAGAATAACTATCAAGCCGGTAGATATTTTGTCTTTAAGAAAAAGACATCAGACGGAAATAATGCAGATTACTATGTAGCAAAGAGTCCATCTCCCAGTACCAAACTTGGTCGAAGAGTTGCCAAAGCTGTCATGTATCGTGTCAAGTCTGTGCCCTCGTCTGTCAGAGATGTTGTTGCTTTGACCTCTAATACTGGAGGTGAGTTATTAAGTTCTTCAGTGGAGCAGATTCAAGTCTCTGCAGTAAAAGAGGCTGGACCAATACCAAAGAGGAGTTCCATAGTAAGTTTAGGAATATCTCCTTCCTACAAGGATGTAGCAGTTGCCCCACCAGGTACCATCTGTATGTTGCAGAAGAGTTTTTCTGAAGACAAAGTTCCTGATAATCAAGAAGTTCTGGAACTTGGAGAAGAAGCCAATGGGGAGGAACAAAATTCTGAGCTAATGAGAAGCGATGCAGAATCCATCAAGCTGGGGGATGAAACAGTAGCTACTGACAACAAAGAAGGAATTTCTTGGAGTTATTTGGGAGGTGGTGAAATTTCAGATGTCACGTGTCCAATCATGCCTTCAGTTCAATCCAGCCATGTTGATGTTAGTCCAATGGAAGAGGAAGGTGTCAACACTCATAGCATGTGTATTTCTGACAATATAGATTCAAATGGTAATTCAAATGTTACCTTACAAGAGATGGAGTACCCAGAGGTAAAAGCTTCAGTATCTTATTCAAGTGATATTAGTCGAGAATTGTCCAATAAACAGTTATCTGCATCAGCGACACCATTCAGCCCATTCCCAGCCTTTGCTCGTATAGTGCCACTGCCTATTAACATTAATCGCCCTTCTGGTCCTGGAAGACTACCGCCAGTAGGTCCTTGGCCAATGAACATGAGTGTTCATCCAGGAACACCCACTATTTTGCCCAACCCAATGTGCTCCTCCCCTCATCCCTCATATCATTCACCTCCGCCCACCCCAAACATGGTGCACTGTTTGCCCTTTATGTACCCTCCCTATTCTCAACCCCAGATGTTACCTCCAACTACATTCCCAGTAAACAGCAGCGCTTTCCATCCCAATCATTATGCTTGGCAGTGCAATATGACTCCTAAAGCATCAGATTATGTTCCTGGCTCAGTTTGGTCCGGCTGCCATCCAATGGAGTTTCCTGTCTCGCTACCTGTGGTTGAACCAATTACTGAGTCAACTTTGGTTTCGGTCAAAAAAGAGTCATCTGATAATTCTGAGCGCTCGAGTCCGGTACCAAGCTTTCCTGTTGATATCATCTCCAGGGATGAGGTTAAGGCAGAAGCAAATCTTCCAGCACCAGATGCAGTGGAGACCTTGAATGATATAGCTGAGGTTGGATCAGAAAAAGTGAGAGCAATGAACACATTGGCTTCAGTGTACATTACCTTGTCGGACAATCAATCACAGAAGGTTGACGCTCCAAATGAGAATGCTGGATCCTGTGATAATTACATGCAGAGACACCCTTGTAAGACTGATGAGGAGAAGACGTTCAACATTTTAATAAGGGGTAGGAGGAACCGCAAACAAACTCTGAGAATGCCAATGAGTTTGCTTAAGAGACCATACACTTCTCAGCCCTTCAAAGCTGTATGTTGCAGGGTAATAAGAGACTGAGGTTCCCACTCTACCAGTTCTGATCCAAATGGAACTAGCATAGAGATTACTCCTTGAGGTAGTTTTACAGCTTTCACAAGATAAATGTAGCAGGATGGGCAGTTTAAGCTGAGTACACGTTTTTTGTTGCTCACATGCTAAGACTGCTGAGGTGTTGGTTAAAAGCGCTGGTAGTACCCACAGTTCGATATTGTTTGCGTTTTGTTATGCCACATCAACGTGTTTTGAAGGTTAGTTCTTTCGAACGAAGAAAAATATTGCATTTAATCCTATCCAACCCTCTGCCACCTGAGGAAAAAGATGGTCCTTCTGATGACTATTTTTTTTAGTGCAGGTTAGTTTGATCATACTTTTTGGCATTAAGGAGCAGTATTCACTGTTTAGTTCACCAGTGACAATTACTCCATTTTTTCCTCAAATGCTACTCATTGATTTCATTACTTTGTATACGAAGCAAAATTATTCTTTTGACACCTCTAATGGAAGTGTATTTGCATCTTATCTCTATCTTCCGACGATATACTCGTATTCTTTCTGAGTTTCTGCTTAAAGTTTATACCTGTCCAAAATGAAAAAGAGTGTCATATGAATTGAGACGTATGGAATACCCTCTCTTTCGTCATGTTATACAAACATTTGGAACACCAAACTTTTCTTTGATTATAATTTTTAATTTTCTGTTACTAATTGAACGCTGAAAAAGTGGTGGTTTGCTAATATACAGATTATATACTGCTGAAAAATGCAGGCAGATGGAAAGCAGGACTGAAAAAATAGCATTCCACACTGATAGTGTCCTCCCCACTCTTCACCGCACCTCATCTTCACCACACTCTGTAGCCCCCTTCCCCGCCACCTCACACCCCCACCCCTGTTAAGTCTCGCAACAGTGGGATGAGAAAAATTTGAACTCCTTAGATGGACTTGGATAATAGCTAGTTTTCTGGATGTAAATTACGCCCAAGACCAATTTCAAAGGTGAATTTTGCAAAAGTGTGTATATGGTTGGTGAAACGGTAATAGAGCCCAGATCCATTCCAATATATAATTTATCAGTGTTGGACATCCATATTACATTATCCACGCACCTTGGACATGAGGCTGGATGTTAAGTCTCACATTAGTGGGATGAAGAAAATGTAGACTTCTTTTATGAATTAGGACAATCCTCCCCTCGTGAACTAGCAATTTTTTTTTTAAATTCTATAAAAATGTTTTTTTAATAATATCTTTTGCTTATGTATCAAATTTACTTATTTTTCTAAAAAAAACCGAAGGCAGAAGTCACCACAAGGCTTATGTTCCTAACTACATTCTGCGTATGTAATGAGCTCGTTTAACTGAGATTATATTTTACAAAAATAAAGGAAGAAAATGCTTAAAACCAAAACACGTTGACTTCCTTTCTTAATTCAGTTTCCACAAAGATAGTCAATTACAGCGCACGACATAGGCTTCGGTGCCAAGTCTAACGAAACTGACTATGGTATTAAGTCCACTGGAGCCAAGCTGAGTTCGACCAAACTTATTATAGTATTGAGTCGAGTCAACACCGAACCAAATCCCACAGAGCTTCGTACAATATAATGGCCAAGTAATCAGAGCCAACAAAAGAGGAAAGGTCACAAAATCAATCAGATGTGACTTGCTAATTCTGTCACTATATTATAAGACGCATTGATCCTGCCAAAATGTGTATGAAATGGCAAGACATCACATTCAATATATACTCTACAAGCAAAGAGGTTTTCTATGTAATAGCAATATCAACTCCATACACTTGGCTTTTAGTACTGTCGAAAGACTAGCAACGCAATCAGCAGTTTTAACCTAATCACTACTTATAACTACAACAAGAAGAAATACATATCGAGGCAAAGAATCACTGGTCACCTATCTCTATACGCAAATCGTGGTGAACGAGAAGTGATGAAAAATTGGAAGCTTGTGTAGTTCTGTTTACTTAGACCATGCTACTGAATCAATCTCAGCTTGAGCAGCTCTGTATAACTCAAGTCTCTTTGCCAGAGAGAGGCGACGCTGCATAATTGCTGGATCCTCATCCAACAAAGTACCCAGTTGTTTCCCCTGCAAAAGAATAAGGGGGACGGTATTATCCGTGTAAGTCATACCATTGCTGCACTCCTCTCACCCAGAAAGAGTTTCAGGTAGATTAACAAATAAGGCAGAGTCTCACCTCCTTCTTGCCTAAATCAGTGAAGAAATGATCAAGCAAGCTGCGTTTGGCCTCCCGCACTTGACCATAAACTACAGACTTCGGAATTGAATTCCTCAAAGTTGCACAAACCATATTGACATAAGACAAGACATTTGATCCTGTTCACAGAAGGCAGTTATGAGGATAACCCCAAAAAAACATTGCAAGGGAAAAGATCTTAGGTGACTATTTTACGAGTAATGAGCAGAAATTTGTAATGCATTTATCAAAATACTTCGGAGAATCAAAGAATTAACGGGAGTTTGCTAGTTCACAACTTACCTATCCTTCGAAGATAGGAATCATTATAGCGGTCAAAAATAGAATGTGTCGGATTCCCTCCCTTCTCAATATCTTGAGGAAGCTTTCGGAAGAAATCTACGGTCAGGTAACTACACTCCATTTCAACCAGCTGAAGAGTTGCTTTTTTGCTTTCATCCCTCATCCTTTCTAGTGATTCAACAGCTGCATTGCTGACCTCTACTCGTAGGGAGGGGTACTGCTTTAGCTCCTGCACAGAGAAGAAGCATGTGTCCAGTTGTTAGACCCTTAACACACCAGAATAATAATTATAACAATTTATGTATCATTAACTCCGAACAGTAACTAGAAACGAAAGGGAACTTGCCGCAGTCTCACTGATTGCCTTGTGAATCAGTTCCTTCAGTATAGTATGAACCTGCAATCATCACAAAGGAAGTAACTTAGTACTCCGTGATTTGTTTGCTCAACTGTACAAGATTTTTTCCCATAATGACGGAGAAAAACCTCCCATACTAAGCAGAAAAAAACTCAGACAATGTTTCCTAATCTTGGTAGCATCTAATTACAGTCAGAATAGTCAGATAAGCTGATTAAATTTTAAGAAAGGAATCTACAAGATTAAATATAGATAACTAAATTCTATTTTGTTCACTACTTTTTTGTTTTTTAATAGGAAATTAACAAGATTTGTAGGTCAAGTTGACAGGGAGGAACAAGTCAATGAAAAATCACACACAGCAAAGTCAAATTACACTCATCTACTTCGGTTGACATTATTGACAAAGTGATCGCAGCCAGAAGACCCACACTTGGCCAATTTCCAGCTTTACTTTCGATGTCAAAAATTATTTCCTAATATCATTTTGTTTAGTAGTTTGTACTTTTCCCAGTAATGCCAACTTTGAAGTCACATAATATCAAAGTTCCAAAAGCTGCAACAGTGAGAAAAAAACTGGCATTCTGAGAATGAACGCCGTACTCATCCCGATGTCATAAAACACCCCAGCTACTCATATTACATTACCAAGCTTCAAGTCTCATTGCTATTATTTCTTGTAACATGACAAAACTAAAACAACAGCCATGTAGTGGGCTTGCACAAAAAATTATGTATATATATATATATACACACACATAGAACTTTAGTATAGTTGCAAAGGAGGTTTAAAATATGCCCTAGGTTGCAGATTCAACTCCTAATTCTGCACATTTTGGCCTCTCTTTTTTCTTTTTTTTGAATCCCTTAGTGAAATTCCTTTCCCAGCTACTACACACCTGACTACTCCATAAAGAAGCCTGAAATGTAAATCAACAAAAAGCAGTACACAACAACAATTAAGCCTCAATTTCTATTTAGTTGTGTCTGCTATAAGAATCCAGCTAGCTCCATTTGGGGACCTGTTTTATTCCAATTCTCGATAATTTGAGTCAGAATACTAGAAGAGTGGAAATCCCAAAAAAGGGCAAAGAAGAATCAATGGCTGATGAAAAGAGGCTTCATCAAAAAACGGCTGAAGAAAGGAGACATCTGACCCATTCCGAAAAGATATAAAGCTAGCTGAAACCATTATACACAGTGCAACTTATAATAGTATATTTTAGGTGCATACAACAGGGGGCAAAAATCCATACCGCATCAACAGCTGCTTCAGCAGGACCCTTCATAGAAACTATGGAAGATTCAATGAGACGACGATATCCTTGTTCAGGAGCTATCAAATGTGGTTGATATCCATCCGCTTCAGTTATAAGTTTCCTTACATTGTCCATTGAAAGTTGCTTGTCAAATTGCAGTCTTTTCAATGCAGCTGGGAGCTGATTATCAAAGACATAATATATTTTATCACCTCCTGGTCGACTGTGACATTCAGACATCAGAAAACAAGCTTAGACCACATAAAAATATAGTTTACTTGGATATGTTGACAAAATATAAACATGGAACACTTACACTCCATCAAGATGTTCTTTGAAATTTCCATCAAAACTACGACAGATTTCCATTATCATGTACAATTTTCCCTGAGCAGATCATGCAAAACAAGGACAAGACATATGATTCACGCTCAGAAGAGCAACAAAAGCAGACTCATATTCTACAAACTAATGGAAGTACAAAGAAAGTAAATTGCCTCACAGGTTTCAATAACCAATACAACAGAAAGGTAGAGATTTAAATAGGATACTTACTCCCGCATCCGTGGCAATGGGCTTTCCAAGACGGCTCAACTCAGTTTCTAGCTCAATTATAGTTTTGTTGATTAGAGACTGGAGACCTGGAATCCGAGACTTGATAACAGACTCCAAATGCTAAAAATGTAGACAGAAAATCAAAGAAAAATAGTTAGCTATCCAACATAAACCACAACTACAAGTCTACATCAAATAGGAAAAGCATAAAGACCTTAAAGGCTTCATTTAGAGCACCAAGAGGAATTTCATTGGAGGCAGAAAAGTGAAATAAGATGAACAATGCTCTAGTTTAAAAAAGAAAAAAAGTTCAACCCCTGAATATTCGATTAGAAAGAATATGACATACTTTCGACAGAACTTTCCCAAGATGTTCTGAACCCATCCTGTTAGCAAGATGCCGGTACTCAGGGGTACTAGAAAAGTACTCTCTCTCCCTACGCCTAGCAGCAATCATATCCACATTTTTGTTGATATCAGCTTGTGAACGATTGACAACACCAATCCATGGAAACTGTAGCTTATATGATTTTCCTTCCAACATCTGGAAATCCAAGAACATGATTTAGAATAATCAACAATTGATAAAATTTGTAAGTAAATAAGAACCATTATAATTTTTTCTTGTAAATGTTGACAGACATCTTGATGGCAGCAGAAATTTTAATCAGAAAGCATAAACCATAGGAATATGAATTAAACTGTGGATACTGACATACACGTTTGCAGAAACAAATAAAGATATGATTACCACTTCTGCTCCTACAAATGTCAAGAGGGCATGAAGAAGTGCCTTTGTCTATTCCAATAGGTAGTATTTTAAGATGCCCAGACTAAGAACACAAGGATAGGCTTTCAATGTCCAAAATCATAAATTTAAAAGAAGAGTACTCAAGTAGAGTGATTGGCAAAATCAGAACATTCATCCTCTACATCATGTCATGTCATGTGCAGTGCCTTAATTTCTTTACTTAATAAAGCATACTCAAATAGTATCTCCTTGGGTATTATCACAAGATCTGTTCAAATAACTCTTCACCCAATATGAGAATATGCATTCACTAAGATACTACTACCTAAGTTGCTCGGACTCGGGTGCGGGTATCCGATATGGGTGCGGATCTTGAGGTCGGATCCTTCATGATCTAATTTTTAAGATTCGGGGATATGGATCCATGTATGGATACGGGTGCGAGGATGCGCCTAAAAATAATTAAAATATCTAAAAATAGAGTTATTAAACCTAAATTATGTGGAGAACTTGAGGAGAATCCTGAAAGGAGATTAAAGGAAAAGGAGTGACATAAAAACTTCTATATAAAAGGTATACTATTTTCTTCAATTTCACCTTAGTTTTTGTATTGACTACTTAAATCATTAAAACTGTCAAGACTTTCCCCGTCGATTTTGGTCAAAGTACCCAAAATCAGTTGACCAAATCGGACATGGATCCCACACCCATGTCATGTCGACACGAGTGCGGCACCAAAAGTGAAGAGTCCGAGCAACTTAGACTACTACCACTACTAATCTACTACCAGTCTACAACAACAATCAACAAAAAATTGATATTTGGACTTTATCAAACTAGAATAAGAAACTACGATCACCTTAACCCAATCAAACTCAAAATACACAAGTTCTCCAAAAACTAGAAAAATTATGAAACTCTATTCATCCCTCTGTTCCATTTTATTTACAGAGGTTCCTTATTCATCACGGAAGCTTCAGTATTTCTCTTTATATAAAAGATACTTCCCCATTTTTCCCAATGTAACTCATCCCTCTGTTCCATTTTATGTGGCAGTATATCCTTGTGAGTTTTTATCAAAAAGAATGACACGTTTCTACACAAGGCAACACTTGAACTTTAAATTTCTCATTTACCTTTAATGACATGCTTTTATAGTCACAAAAATGTCACGGGTACAAGAGAAGTCCCGGACTTCTTTTTTTCCCGTAAACTTCGTGTCAAGTCAAGCATCACCACAAAACTTGAACAGATGGAGTACACTTAATGGCATTAATTTTAAAAAGCTACATGTATGTACGGTTAACTACAAAAACAACAACATGCCCTGTATATTCCCACAAGTGAGGTTTGGAGAGGGTAGGAACTACGCAAACCTTACCCCTACCTTTGTAGGGTAGACAGGTTGTTTCCGAAAGACCAATGTACAGTTAACTACAAGAACAACAACATACTCAATATATTACCACAAATGGAGTCTGAGGAGGGTGGGTATACGCGACCTTACCCCTACCTTTCCGAGGTAGAGAGGTTATTTTGTTAGACCCATGTATGGTTAACTATCAAACTTAAATATGGCATAAATTTGAGATCCAAAGGGGAACGAAAAGACTAAAAGCAACTCTTCTCTAGTTTTATCTAAAGGATACAAAAATATATGAGGTCCATACTCATATACGCTCAATTGAAGCTACATTTAAGTAAAAATGCATGTTCAAACAAGTATAGCAGTAATTATTATCAACCAAATAAAAGCTTACATCAACAGCATCGGTACCCTTATCCATGAGATCAATCTTAGTCAGAACTCCAAATGTCCTTTCTCCTGAGACAAGTGGTCAGATACCGAGTCAAAAGCGTCTTAAAAGATATAATTGTTCTTGATATGAATATGCATAATCTTGACCAAGAATGAACCATATTGTAAAACTAGCATCGAGCTAGCACATTACCACACAAGGAAAAGATGAGAGTCGAGAGTCAGAAGATAGCAAATTAGCTGAGATTATGAACCTAGATAAAACTTAAACTACATTATTTGCTCAATCAAAAAATGATCACAAATGAGTGTGAGAACAAATAGTTCTCTGAGTGTAAAAGATAATTGAATGGACATATCCACAACAAGAACAAATTTGCAAAACGACAAGTAAAAGGTAATCAATACTGGAAATAAACATAAGCATAAAATAAAAGGAACATGTCTCACTAGACTTCACTAGTAGTGACTGTGTTTTAGCAGGTAACTAAGAGACAGGAATGGTCTTTCTTGCCTTCATTTTTCCTCTTATTCTTTTTGGATAAGAAAACAGTGATGATCTCTCTTTTCATCAAAAGAAACGAAATTACGCATTGGACAAACTTGAAAAACATTTAGGGCTTCAAATATTGGAGTTTTGCCACCGTAAACGAGATAAGTAAAAATGTGAAGCACATTGAAGGTCTATGTTGTATTAAGTTTCCCAACTCTTGTTCACCTTGAAGAATGTGAGCACTGGGAAGTCAACATAGGATAAGAAACTTCAATTTTCTTAAAGAAGATACAAAAGTTGTATGACTTAATCTTCTTTATCAAAAAAAAGAAAAAAACTGTATGAATTTATCTTTGATTCATAATCAATAAACCTAGGGTTTAAGTTGTGCGGACTCTTCACTTTCAATGTCGCAACTGTGTCAGATTCTCCAAAAATACACTACTTTTGGAGAATCTGACACGCACCCGTTGACATTTATGAAGTGTCCAAGTAACATAGTAAATAAAAATGCACTCGTAATTTAGATAAAGTGGAATATCCTCAGAATTCTAATTTAGATGAAGTGAAACTACATTTTTCCTGGCTAAGATACTGTTAAACAGGACAAGGAGTGGAATAGGGACATCTTTGGAAGGGTGCGGGGGGGGGACTAAACAAGAGAGAAAAATGAGAAACGATGAGCAACAGCTTGGGAGACTAGCTGAAAACAAAATAAATGGGACACTCTGTTTGAAAGAGGAGGGTCCAACCTCCAATAAAAAGTTCTTAGTGAAGTGAACAGAAGTGGGGGAGATGGTTTATGAAGATGAGGAAGAGGTCAAAGTCAGTTGCAGTTTTTAACTTTTAATTCCCTTGTGTACCAAGAAAAGGAAGAATAGAGACTGAATTCGGGAGGATAGAGTTTAACCAAATATGAGAGAAAATGAAGGAGTTGCTGGAGAGTAGAAGAGGAGAGGAGTTGAGGGAGACTGGAGAATTGTGCGGGAGATAAACCATCAGTTTTTCCAGCAATGTAGAGAGTATCGTGAAGGAAGACAACATGAAGACTGCTACATCATTCCAGAAATCAGAAAAGTTTGAGAAGATCCCCACTGCATTCATTGCATCACCCAAAAGGAGGAGGGAGCCTCAAATATTGGGGAATGTGGACCTATTAGTTTAGACTCTAGCAGGAAACATCAACAAGATCAATTTTAAGATGGTCTCAAGTATACTGATAAAGGTCTTGGTGATACAATGTCTCTCTCTTGGAATGTGTTTGTATCTGTGGAGGGCAGATAAATTATACATGCAGGATTGGTGGAAAATGAGGCAGTGGCTTCTTGAAAGCTAGTTAGATCTAGAGAATGTGTATGACCACGTGAATTGGAACTTCTTAAACTTTGTGATGCCTAAAGATAGGTTTTGGAGAAACGTAGAGAAGGTGAATAAAGTTTTTCATGTCTACACTAAAGTTGTCAGTCTTTTATAAGGTAAGCAATTTTATTAATCAAGTGGCAGATCTATAATGCATGCGGCAGCTTTGTTAAAGTGTATAATTTGCCTAACAGTAATTAACTAAACCAACTATCATAAATTAGATACAACTACTTCCCACCAATAAAAGAACATGTCCATTAGCACATTCAGAACACTCCAGAGCTAGAGGGAAGGAAAATTATACGAAGAAAATTCCCAGAATCTGACCTTTAGGGTCTACTTCACGAGAAATCTTGATTGCATCCGATGTTGCGAGATCTTGATTCGCAGGGGAAATTGCAAGAATAATACAATTGGGCTGCAATGTCAAGAAAACAGAAAGCAATGACTTTCACAAGTATTTAAGAGTAAATTGAGATCTTCAAACACAATTTAGATGTTTCCTGACATATTAGAGCAAGCATAGCAAACTACTGCAATACTAGAGAACTGTAGTATTATTGTTTTTCAAAATGTTAACACTACATACTGGAACATTTTCTCTTGGATAAAAGACTAGTATAACTGACCTTCTCAATATAAGACCGAACCATGTTTTCAATGTCTAGTACAATGCTGTCAGGCTGTCCCTCTACATAAATTCAATGGACAGAATATCAATTCGGCAACAGTTTTTGTTTTGAAAACAAAAGTTATGTATCAATGCAAACATGTTCGATCAATATACATTTTTCTGCATTTGAAATTAATGACACGAATGAACAGCAACCCTATACTCACCAACTGCTACTTTTGTAAGTCCAGGAAGATCGATCAGAGTCAAGTTAACAACTGCCATGACAAAAATCCAAAATAAGTAGATGAAGTAGTAAATGTCGAGGCAATGTAAAATTAGAATGGAATGAGTAGAAAATCTTTTCTCAGATTTTTGGATAACTATACAATGTATTGGTGCTACAAAAAATGCTGCAACTGAGGCAAGTAAAATTAGAAGTCTACGCCAAACTGGAAACAAATTACCAAAAAAACACTGATTTCAACACCAAAAATGGATTCTAACAAGTGAATGTATAACTGAAAAGGCAATATTAGCAATAGTAAAGCACACAACAAAGGAATTCACCAGATAACTATCCACTATATGTGTGGTGATTTTAAAAGCAATTGTCCAGACAACTATCAGAAGCAACAATTTTTTAGTTGCTAGTACCTGAATGCATTTATTGGGGGAGAAACATTCAACACCAGACTTCAGTAAAATACATTTTTTTTTTGTAATCAAATTCAACCTCATCCTACAAATTTCAACACCCTGCTTACTCAAAACAAATACATCATCAACAACCTTTGTCCAAAAAAAAAAAGCCCACCAAAAACCTCAAATGGACTTAGAAATACATCATTGCAGACAATTGAATTGCACAAATAGAAAACAGTTCTTCATACCATTTGGAGAATATATACTGAGATAAATTGGCACACTAGAAATCTGTTTGCTGCGGCCAGTTTCTCGATCAGTCTCATCAGCAATCTCTTTCCTCACAGCAGCTGAAAGACACATAAGACTTAGAAGCAAGAACAACAACAGACTAAAGTGAATGTTGAGGAAAAGTTTGCTAATGAAGTCCCAGAAGATAATGAAAACAAGAACACACAATGACAGGTGCTACATGCAGAAGATGAAAAGTAGAATTGAGCAAATAATACGGTAGAATTGCTAGTCAAAAACTCACCAAAATCAGTAAACCTCTTCCGTGGTAGGTGTCCAAATTCTGCATATTCTCTACCTTCTTCAATCCGATGAAGCTGTAGGACAAGGGGGCGGCGGGTGACAATTCCTGTACATGATATGTGAGAATTCTGGTATTGTTAAAGTTTTGCATCTATGATTCCAATTGATGGAATTATTACCTGATCCACGAGGCAAAAAGTCTTTTCCAACAATGCTCTCAAGCACCGAAGATTTCCCAGAACTCTACAAGTCATCCAAAAGATGGAGTTAAGCAACATAAATGCAAAATTAACCTACAAATCACAGGAATCAACAGTTTTTGGAAGACATTAAGTACACAATATAAGATAGATTATCACAGAGGAGACACATGATACATGATACAGGTCATGCACACCACCATTAAAAAACTATTAGCATGCACCTAAGTTTGAAGAATGCACACTCAAAAACGTGTCCAGCTATGTAACAGCATGTTCATAGCAATGATGTCAAGCAGCTCATAAAACTTCTTCAATACGATAAACATATACCGCATATTACATTAATACATTCAGCTTCTACATTTCAATACAGAAACTATGGTACTAGATTGCCTCTTCCCATGTGCCTAACATGAACCAAAATTCTCAAAGTTTCAACCCAAATAAAGCTAGAAAAAACTTGGTCCTGAACAATTCAAATAACATACATACTCGGCCCGGCCCCCTTCAATCCCTTTTGAGACATTCCAAAATATTTATGTCTATAGAACTTTACGACTCTCAAGAATTCAAATTCATTAAACTATTCAATTTCAAACCTTCTAATATGATGCTTTTATTATTAACCTAAATTCTCAAATATCTTTTCACTATCACTAATATATTACTATATAAGTCAAATATTATTCAGTCAAATATCATCACATAAATTGAGAGAATACTTTAACTACTTCCTCCGTCCCAATTTATGTGGAACCGTTGGAATTTTCAAGAATCAACCAAGTTTTTCAACCGAAATTTTTCATATGCCTTTTAAATATTTTAATTTATTAGTTGTTGTGATTTCTAGTACTTTTTTAAGCAGTTTTCAAATATATAAATTTTATTGGAAAAAACTTAAAGCTTCTATGCCCAAATTCAAGCCAAAAATTTAGAAATTTGAATCTCGAAATTCCAACGGTGCCCCAAGAACCGACACAAAAAGAGAGTAATATGTGAAACCTACATATATGAGCATTTCATGACAAATGTTATCGGATCAACCTGAGGCAAGTAACTTAACCAAAAAATCAAGCTGAGCCAAGTAACAAGAGTAGGAGAAATCACTCCACTACAAAACTTTTAGGTAAAATAAGGCAAGGAAATGACCAAAAATGGAAGCAACGGAGATATTGAAACAAACAACAACTACTTACAGAAACTATGAGCATACAAGTACCAAAAAATACAATACAAACCGCAGATCTGACTTCAATGAACACGCAAATCAACAAACTCAAGCTCAATAAATACGAACACGACTATTCAAACGAAGCAACAACTTTCAAAAATTCAAATCGCCAGCTAACAATTCCATATTCATACATAAAACACCGCAATAAAACAGAATTTGCGTTTGCTTCACAATACAGTAACGAAACAGAATATATAAAAATAGAGAGAATCTAGATGTATCAAAACCTGTCCACCGACAACAGCGATAGTAGGCAAAGCGTCCCAAAGAGTAGGCAACGAACTCTCTTCGCCATGATCTCCAAGTGCAGTACAAGCTCTCTGTAATCTGTTAACTAATGCTATGAGATTCTCCATATCAATCGGAGTCAAAGATCGGCGACTTGATAGTCAACAAGAGTAAGAAACAGAATGAGAAGATGAAAAGAGGGGAAGATGAAGAGATATTGGAGAGAAGAAGAAAGAGGCTTTTCGCAATTTTTGTGTGCAGCTGTGTGTGTGTGAGAGAGAGCTAAGATTTTGAAATTGAGTTTCGCATTTGAATGGAGAACCGCTTTAAGAAAATACCAGGACCCTTTTTCAGTCTTAATTTATTTGTGTTTTTGAAATTCAAGTTAATATATTATTTGTCGTTTAATTATATTGAAGATATGAGAAAAAATATTATTTACGGATGGTTTAAAGATTATTTAAATTGACGTTTGAAAAGTAAAAAATAATACTCCATAAATTCAGATATAAAAAATGATTGAAAATACCATAAAGTAGCCTTTTTTATATTTTATTTTCTAGCTTTTACACATTGTAAAGAAAATGAGATGATTTTTCATGTCATTTAGTATTAGTATTGTAGGAGTTTAATTGTTTGGTCACGAAATATTGAAAATTTATTCGTCGCTAATTTCATGTTATGCTTCATTTTACTCGGAATCAATTCTTAGAAAATTTTCACTTTTTTCAAAGTTGAACTCTGAAAAGTACAATTAGCCTTAAGATTTTGAAATATTCTATTTTCACTTTTTCACTACATTTTACTCATAGTCAAACACTCACTCAAATAAAATATTATAGTTCAAAGTATAGCAATAATATCATATAATTTAAATATTAAACTGACAAATCGTGAATAATTATTAATTCAATTAAAAAAATTCTTTACTTAATTTAGCATTGAAACGTAGAGTAGCATAGGCATATGTCCATCATGGGTTGTAGTGTGGTGGTGGGACTGCTTCACTCTTAACTAGAAGTCTCGGGTTGGAGCCCTGAGGATGGAGAAAATCATGTTGGGAGCGTCAGCCCCTCAATGAACCCTACAATGCGCGATCTAAATTCAATCGAAGCTCAAATTTAGGCACCGGACACCGAGTCATATGGGGAAATGATAGGTGTTGGGTCACAAGGGCACACGAAAGTTGGTGCACAAAGTAACGAGATAGGTATGGGATCACTAGGATTGTCTATTAAGTAATCACTAACTTTGATCAAAGCTATAACTAAATCTAGTAGTGAAAATTGTATAAATTGGTATTTGTAGTTTGAATTACACTAAATAGATTTAAAACAATTAATGGGGAGAAACTAAATGCTCAAAACTTTAGGAAAATATGATAAATAAAGGTGTTCTTCATATATGAAAAAAGTTGTTTTTTTCAATATAAGAAGGGCTAAATGGCCAGAAAATTTGGTCAGAATTTGGCCAGAAAATTTAAAAAACTATAAAAAAAAATTATTTTAAAATAAATTGATCTTTTTTCCATTTTTTAGATAAAAGGTATTAAAGTTAAAAGGCTAAAAATGTTTAAAAAGGTAAAATAACATAGATAAAATATTATTCTGGCCAAATTCTGACCAAAATTTCTGGCCAAAAAGATTTTTCCTTTTAAAAATTAGAAAATTTATTCCTTTGATTAGAATAAGAAAACAAGTGTTATAAATGGCTAAGTTCATTATCTTTTCTCCTTCAATGTTGTAAACTTCCTTCTTGATAACCACATTTCATTCGTGATTTTTCAATAGTATTTCCTAAATTACGTATAAATATTTTTGTTATAATATTACTCCCTTCGTCCCATTTTATGTGGCAACATTTGACCGGGCACGGAGTTTAAGAAATAGATAAAGACTTTGAAATGTTTACCAAATTGCCCTTAAAAAATAGACTTATTTTTCTCTCTCCTAATAAATGTATTGGAGTACTCTTTTCAAGATTAAGTGGGACCAACAAGGATAAAAGAGGAATTGTACCTTTAAATACTTACCAAATAAGGAAATGTGACATTCTTTTTGGGACTGACCAAAAAGGAAATGTTGCCACATAAAATGGGACGGAGGGAGTATGAAATAGCAATAAGAAATGAATTCAGTAGCACAACTACAGAAGTAGAAGAACAAAATAAGGAAAAATAATACTCCCTCCGTCCCATTTTATGTGGCAACATTTGACCGGGCACGGAGTTTAAGAAATAAATGAAGACTTTGAAATGTTTACCAAATTGCCCTTAAAAAATAGACTTATTTTTCTCTCTCCTAATAAATGTATTGGAGTACTCTTTTCAAGATTAAGTGGGACCAACAAGGATAAAAGAGGAATTGTACCTTTAAATACTTACCAAATAAGGAAATGTGACATTCTTTTTGGGACTGACCAAAAAGGAAATGTTGCCACATAAAATGGGACGGAGGGAGTATTATTTTTACCTACTTACCTAACATTAAACAAATATGTAATGCACTCTTATATTTTTGTAAATTAATTCATTTATTTGGGTTATTAACTTATAGAAATATTTTTATGCTCTATTTGCATATGCAAATAACCATAGCTCCTATATTCTTATGTGTTGGATTTTGGGTTGGGTTGTGGGTCGTGCTATACGTGACCTGACTCGATCTTTATTAGGAGAGATAACATTAAAAAGCTATTTTTCTATCTTTTGTGGTACTGGTAAAATTTATGTATATTCTATTTTTTTTGGACTTTATATAGTGAATTTCGCTAGATATGTTATTGTTGATATAGTCAACATTAAAGAAAAAAGGAAATTTTATATATGGCAAACAAATTTAAGCAAATAATGTTCCATAGCTATAGTTTATCTAATTACGCTTTATGGTATAGTTTAGTTTGCTATGGAGCATTAGATTTGTATATCTCTTTTCTTTTTTTTTAATTTATACAAAAAAATTAATAGTTAAATGAATACATGAGCGCTAAATACGGTAACAAAATATAACTGTTAATTAATCCCTTAATTGATGCGACAAAATCAGTTTTAAAAAAGAAAATATCCCATGATTCATGCTAAGTGTATTTCCTTACCATTTCTTACCAAAATGGACTCTTCAAGCTAAAAAATTCTCCCTTAAAATTCAGATTATTTTATTTTTACTGAGTTTTAACAATCAAAATTTGGTTTGATTTCTTCATCCATAATACAACAACAAATATTTTTTGATTTAAAACCAATAATTTGATTTAGTTCTTCCTTTCTAATTATTCATTTGAAACAAAAAAAATTAATTTCAGATCATGAACTCTGAAATATACAAATCAAAATGTATTTAATTATCATGAGCATATACAATCGTATAAGATATACATACGATAAATGCATGAGAACTATTGGTATATATACAACTGGTGCATATATACAAACAAGTAATTATATATTATTTCTAAAAATGAAAAATACATATATATCATTTGATATACAAATTAAAATGTATATAAATATCATTAACAATTTCTATTGTATAATATATACAAATAATAAATGCTAGAAAATTATTAACAGGTTCAATCGTATAAGATATACAAATGATAAATGCTAGGCAACTATTTATATATATACAATTGACAACCTTTTATATATATATATAAAATTGTATATTATACATGGAAATATACAATAAAAACGACAAATACATATATCATTGATTCATCCCTGTTGAACCATCAAACTTTTTTCCACAACTTTTCCGCATCTATGTTTTTCTTGAAAAAATTTCAAAATTTGTCGCATCTTAATTGAGTCATTTCAGTGCTTGGATCCAAACTCTTCAATGGATCTAGTTTCTTCATTCGGTCTAGATTTAGCAATATCTTAGAATGCTTGAGTTAGATCCAACGAGAATGATGGTGGATCATCAACAAATTTGGCATGCAATGACATACCTCTAGTAATCCTCTTGAATGGAAATCCTTCATTCATTTTTTTCTGAAAGAATCTGAAAATTTGAAGACTTAAGAAAGATTTTTGAGAAAAAAAATACAAGCATAAATCATATACAAACGAAAAACAATAAAAAAGAGTTGAAACATGTTTTGAGCGATAATCTTGAATTGTGATGCCATGATTAGGAGGGAGAAAGTAGATTTCGAAATTCAAAATCAATGTGTATGAGTGATTTTAAGAGAGAATTCAAATAAGGGAACGACTCTTTTTCTTTCATTATACAATTCGTTTGTGGGTCCCATAATTAATAGCAAATTATATTAAACTATAACCACACACAGTAATTAATTGGAACGGTAACCATAGTGAATAATAAACTAGTAATGTTTGCCAACTCACGTAATTTTCCCAAGAAAAAATTACCTCACATCTTTTAATTTCTACAATTATCAAAGTGAAAAGTAGGGGATAACAATTTCTCCAAGATAACCTTTCTTCTCTTCTTTAAATGATTGAATTAAACATGTTTTCTTCCTCATTCAACAAATAATTATTTTTGGGGAGATTTAACTTTATTTTCTAGTGAAACTCAGTTCAACTTGAAATAATATCGACATCAAAATCGTAAATTTTATTATTGTTAACAGATATACAAAAACGCTATTCATATTACTAAACTAATTATGCATTAATATTAAAGCCTAAGATTATTTGTTTCCGAGTATATGAAATTAGATCTATAATGAATACAGTGACAATTCATGCACTAAATAAAATAAATATGTACACATTTTTATTAAACATCTGAAATTACTCCCTTGTCTATAATTTATGAACTTATTCTGTTTAATCTTATAACTATAGAAACATGCATTACTTGAAGTAGTATAAGAGGCCCGTTTTTGTAATTAATCAAAATAGTTAAGAGACTAGTTGTTACGATTCAAATCATCATGATTGACACCCACATCAATCCAATGTAGGCTAATCAACACTTAAACACTCAAACTTATGTAACATTTAAAAAATCCAGACATAAATACAAAGCATAACAAAATAATTCTAAATTGTCAAACTAACTTAATAAAATAGCGAAAGTCAAAACTAATACATTTTCAGAATTCCAAAATCATCGTACTAAAAATCTAACAAAAATTGTCTAAGAGTAGCTGATGAATAAGTAAATTAATAGTCTCAATGTCCGAAAGAAAGACATCAAAGCAAGGAAGATCTATGGCAGTCCGAACGGAAGAAGCTCACCTTCAGATCTAGAAGTAACTCTGCTAAATATGGGGTCTCGTAGGCGCTTTTGGATCACAGTTTATACACAAAAAAAAGGTTCAAGAGTAGCATCAGTACAAATACTATGTATTGGTAGGCATCATGTAGGGCGACTAAAGCCTAATTT